ATAATAAATTTTGATTCATTACTATTTTTATTTCTAGTATAATTTCTACACTAATAAAATCAGAGTAGTTCTGGTTTTCTTTTGAATTACTACAATTTACCAAATGTGTATAAACAGTTCAAATCAAATGGATAATCAAGTAGACAAATTTCTATGTGTTATAAGTTTGTCACTAACTAAGAATATTACTGAAAATTACAAGGGATTTTCAGCCACCAAAGAGAATACCAGCAGCCTGTTCTTCGTTGTCATGGCATAATTTCAGAGCTTGTATCACCATTTCTCTTGGAACCCCCAACTCAACGAGCTTTGCAACTTTGGCTTCAAAATCAAGTTTATGCAGAAAAACGAAGCTTTCTCAGATTTACAATGGTGATCGAACTTGAAGATTAAACTTCACTTGGTTCTCAAATTTACCTGTGTCGCATCTCCTTGTGAACTTCCAAAAACCAAAAAAAAAAGACTAAGAAAAATTCAGAATCATAATATGAATCAATTACAAATGACTTTCATAACACCTCTTTTAAAACAATGAACGATTTATGTAAATGGCCCTCCAACTCCGAGGGTCCTCTAAATGCATGATAAAACTTGAAATGAAATCAATATATGCATGTAGGGTACAAAACCCAAATAATATAGCTTAAAACTAGTTAATGGTGGAATATGTCCACTGGTAACTTTGGTTGGGTTGAAGAAGAAGAAAGGGTTAGACTAAAGAAGAGGAGTCGGTCAAAATGGTCTAATATGGTCTATTGTGGCAGTCAACGATCCAGATAAGCAGATAACAATCCAATTGTGATTTCAGTTACGCTTGTAGACGGCTCTTAACGTCTACTGATCAATTTGTAACAAACGATAATGTTAGTGATTGATTTGTGACTTTTGAAATATCAGTGATGAAAATGAAAACTTAATAAAAAAATATTGATCATTTGCGTAGTTTATCGTAAAATATATTTGATATTAATATATAAAATGTCTTTCATTTATCGACAAATTACAATCTTGCTATCAATTATTTTTAGTTTACAAAATTTATGAAATTGAATATTTACTCTTTCCTCAAAACTTTGAACATGCTTTTAAAATCCCTTGAAAAATTTAGAAACCTTTGAGACAATTTATTATTTTTTTCGTCTCATTATATATATATATATATATTAAATTATCTTATTTAAAATCCCTCGTTAGAAAAGTTAATAAACAACAACATTTATATTTCCTTTTTTTACTTTTATATATCTCATTCTTTTACACCTATAAAAATAAACACGACAAATCTATCAATCACCTTTTTAGTAATAATTATGTTATTTACTTTTATCAAATATATCTCCTAAAATTATGTGCACACAAGACACAAATTATGAGATAGAAAGAGTATATGATTTCGAAACTCCCTTTATCAGTCTCAAAAAATTTATGTTATAATGATCAAAATTTTAGGATAAATTACATGTTTAGTGTTTAAATTATTAATTTTAATCCGTTTTAATATCTAAATTTTTTATTTTTCAAAATTATAAATAGAGTTTAATTTTTGTTTCATTTTAGTAATCCACCGTAAAAAACTTTAGTTTTTATTTCATTTGTATTATCATTCAAAATTTAATGTTAAGTTTTTTTAAAAATGAAAGTTATGTATTAAAACGGACCAAAACTGATACTGTAGGTATTAAACGCGTTAAGTTTTTAACGGTAGGGTACTAAAATAAAATAAAAACTAAATATTTGATATGATTTTAAAAAATTAAAAGTTAAAGTACTAAAACAAAAACTGATAATTTAAATGCATTTATGCGTAGTTTATCCAATTTTTGAAGTGAAAACAATTTTGCTTAAAAAAAAATGCTTCTAAAACCCAGAGGTGCACATAAGGATGGATTTTTTTTACCATTGAAATTACTTTTAGAGTCCGACGGAACAATTAAGAGTTCGAAGGGGCAAGTAATTTTGTTCTCTGTTACATAATGTCTATATTCTTGTCTGGAAACCCACTATTCACGTGGAAAGACCAAAAACACCCTTTCTTTCCCCATCATAATACTCTGTAATTGTTTGTAATTTAAAGAAATGTTGACCCCAATTCCGTCTATATGTACTTCAAATTTCTTACATCAACAAAAATTGATTCGAAATTTACCCTACAAAATCGAAGATCCCATCGTTTTCTCGCTCTCCAAACACTCTTACGCTCCCCTTTTGGAAAATGGAGGATAGCGGAAACAGAGCTGAAGCCATTCGTCTTCTAGGAATCGCCGAGAAGCTTCTACAAAGTCGTGATTTCAACGGCTCGAGAGACTTCGCAATCTTAGCCCAAGAGACAGAACCGCTGTTGGACGGTTCAGATCAGATCCTAGCCATCGTCGACGTTATCCTAGCAGCTGAGAAAAGAATAAACAACCGCCAAGATTGGTACTCCATTTTACAAATCGATGGCCGATCCGACGACAACGATCTCATCAAGAAGCAGTATCGTCGCCTAGCTCTCATTCTCCACCCAGACAAAAACAAGTTCCCTTTCGCCGATCATGCGTTCAAGCTCGTAGCCGATGCATGGGCTATTTTATCAAACAGCTCGAAAAAATCTGTTTACGACAAAGAATTGAGTTTGTTTACGAGGATTGATTTAAGCAGCTGCGGCGGCGATCGTTCAAATCAAACCGGGAAATTACCGGTCTCGAGAAGAGGACCAAATCAGGAGCGCGGACAGTACTGGATGCCGGATACGAATACCCAAAATGAGAATCAGAGGTCGAAAACGTCTACGTTTTGGACAGCTTGCCCGTACTGCTATAGGTTGTTTGAGTATCCTAGGGTTTACGAAGGTTGTTGTTTAAGGTGCCAGAATTGTGAGAAAGCTTTTCACGCTGTTGATATTCCGACATTGCCGCCGTTGGTTCCGGGGAGAGAAGCTTATTATTGTTGCTGGGCGTTTTTTCCGTTAGGGTTTGTGCCTGGAAGTCCGGAAAGTGAAGGAAAAGCCCCCACCGGCTTTCCGAATTGGATGCATCCTACATTTTCCGAAGTGCCGCCGCATCAGGGCGAAAGAAATGGAGGCTATGAGCAAGCTACACAACCTGCAGCGGTGCCACCGCAGCCTCCTTCGACCACTGCAGCGAAGGTGGTAGAAAATAAAAGTAATGCGGCTGTGGTTTCTGGTGGGCATGTGACCAATTCAGGCCCAAAGAAGAGAGGGAGGCCGAGGAAAATTCCCCTGTGAGGTTTGATAGGTAATGAAATGTGGTTTCTTTTGTACCTTTTTTGTTTAGACCGAACCTGACCGAAATGCAGGAACGTTCAAGGCGGTGCTGGAGGATATCGGTGAACCGAGAAGGTAGAATAGGGCCGACGCTGAAACATTGGAATGTTCGGGGTTAAATTTGTAGGTATTGTTGTAGTTAATTGCTCTGGTTGTAGATTGTTTTTATGTACTGACTAGCACATGGGTGATCGTTGTAACACTGGTATATTCAGCAATGTCAAGTCAGCAAGCTCTTTCACCATAGATTATGAGCAATTTTATTTCTCGGCGTTTCACGAAAGCAGACATGAACTTTTGCTTTCAGTTTGATAAATTTGAGATGTTTTAGAACATTACCACAATTGTTATCATGAACAAAGTACTTGTTCTTTGTGTGTGTTTCATATTGAAAATTGAAACATCAGTTCATTTCATGTTTCATGGATTACATGATTATTGATGGATTGGTGCTTCTTGGATGATTCAGATGACTAACTGCTAATGTATGTTAATGACTATACAAGTGGTTTGAGTTGATTTTAGGCCTTTTGCAACTAAAACCCCCGAGTTCTGCTCGCCTGTTAGCCAATCCGATTGCAGTTTTCTTTATGTTAAGGGATTGTTCGTTATCTGTGCACTTTGTAAATTTAATGCCTTGACCTAGCGATGAGAGATTTTCCCCAAGCCACTTGCCACATTTAACCAAAAACCTTGAAAATGTACTGCAAAATAAGTAGCAGAAAACGATCAACAATTGCCGGCTAACTCTGATCCTCCATTACCTAGGATTATTATCTGCTAGTCGGTAATTGTTGATTCATCTTTCGGAAAACAGTTCTCTTACTTTGGACTATGCATACCGTATGATGCAGTTTTTGTACAAGTTTTTCCCCCTGATAACTCCGATACAACTGCAGGCATACACACGCACATATATAAAAACTTGAACTTGGTTCCTACAAGTTCTTAATTTGTCCCTGCAAAAACTTAGTTCTTAAACTAAGGTGTATTCCTCCGCAAGGAACTTCACCCGGAGAATCTCCCAAGTCAAGTACCCGAAGAAAAAAAGTGATGCAAGGTCTGGGTTTGGTTGCACCCTCGGGTTCACCAATCGACAAGAACGGACTCGTATAGCCAAGTTTCTCATAACAAGTTGCCCATAGAACGGAATGGTACTATTCCAGTCAATTTGTGAAATGTAATGGCATAGCTATCAACTGTACACCTACAAAATTTAGTTCATACATGGCCATGGGCAACGATTGGGAGTACGCCTTCCAAAGACTCGTGCCTAATGGAATGCAGATATTGAAATCCGAATTTCATACATGCTCAAAAGACTGCATATTTTCAGCTATATGTAGGGCCGTATCTGGGCCTGGACAGTAGGGCCCAGAATTTCTATAATATACTATATTTATATAAAAAAATGAGTTTATATAAATTATTGGCCCAATTATTTTTAATATTTGTTATTACGGTTCTAATTTTATTTTAATATTTATTATTATAATTTCATATTATCCTAATATTTATCATTACGGGGTTATTCTTATAGTTTATTTTTTCCTAATATTTGTATTAGTGTCTAGTTTTTTACCAATATTTTTTAACATTTATTATTAAGGGTCCAATTTTTTTAATACTTGTTATTAGGGCTCAGATTCTTCAATATTTGCTATTAGGGGCATACTTCTATACTTTATTTTCTAAAATTTATTTGTTATTATTATGAGTCTAATTTTCCAGTACTTTTTATTAGAAGTCTATTTTTTCAATATTTATTATTATGAGCATACTATTAAAATTTATTTTTAAAATATTTGTTATTAGAGACCAATTTTTTCAAGCCTTATTATATGGAGTTACTCTTAAATTTTTTTTTTCAACATTTGTTATTAGGAACAACTACTTAAAATGATATGCAACCACAACAACAATCATTATGTAGTAGTAACGATATCGTCCGAAATCACGATATCCATAATCTTTATGTCAATAATATTATATGTTATTAAAATTTCACAACTACGATATTTGCAGTGTCCGTAATATTATCCGCTATATATGCAATAGTGATAAACGTAACTCAACCGAAAACAAATTTAAACTGTAATTTAAAGATTTGATTAGATGCCTAATTTTTTTTTCGCCCAGGGCCATCAAAATCTCAGATACTGGCCTGCCTAGAAGCTGTTATTGTTTCTAAACTCCTCCCAATTATTGGTCTTCCTCGAAGCCACATTTTCTCTCCATGTTATCGACTGAAGTGAAGGAACTGGTAATAAAGGAACCAAAGATGAAAAAGTTTAGAGAGGCATTGCCTGTTCAAAAGTTACAGATGTCGAGCTGCTTTTAGGGACACCCGTAAGAATGAACAATGTTTGAAGTTCCCTTTGCCGTTAAAGGACCTTCCATTTTGCTGTGTAAGAGAAGCAAATGTCCCATATATTTACCATCTTTTCATTTCCATTTCTTTCCTTAACTTTGTGCTTCAGCTTTTTGTTTCATAAGAAGAGGGGAGAGTGTTTTCCGAGTACGTTTTTTAAACTGTCGTTTTCTGACGTTGATCCCCTCACAGCCTTGCGTTTTGGCATTGGAATATGGGAAGGACGTCCCCAAAGCTTTGCCAGCTATCACTCGGATCTTCACTTGTTTTTCCTTCTATGTAGTGTTACTTTCATTAATAACTTAAACTTTCTTTCTCTTGTCCGTAGTTTACTCCTTGTATTTAAATTTCTTCGAGAGTTATAAAAATCATGACAAGTAATTTGAGTTGGCTCGATCTATCTTAATTATTATTTAAACAACTGTTGATGGAAATTTGTGATTATGATTGGCTGCAGGCTCTTTTTAGATTTGCGAAGAATTGTGATCGGTGATTACGCATGAGGATGAGAGGGATGATAATTTTAAGAAGAAAAAAAAGTTAAAGATAGAGAATTTATCTTCTAAGAGAATAGAGTCTCCTTTCTATTTTACATGACAGTTTATATATAGTTGTCTTAGTGTCATTGTTAGATCTAAAATAATGATGATTTTTTATAAGCTAATAGGATAAATAGACTTAATTGTCATATAGTGAATTTAGTCTATGATGGAATTGATCACGATTAGATTAAGGACTATAACATCATGGAGGAAATAAAATTATGGAGGCTTCTCAAAAATACTGCAATCTTGGTATACGAAAATTGAATGTGAAAATATTATTTATGAAAGATACCTGAAAGAGATGCAATAATAATAATGATTTTTTTTACTAAATTTAATTACATATACATTAATATTAGATTTTAATTATTTTTACTTAAATTACTTAATATATTGTTTCATATTTACTTGCATAGGAGACTTAAAAGGTTATTGGGTTAGTGTCCGTAGAAATAATGCGGAGGAAAGCACAAGTAGAATTAGGTGTGAAAACATGCCTGATCGACACAAAGGAAATGCCATGTTCATGGATAGGGCAAAGAGGTATCATTTTACTAATGTTGTCGGGAGGGGTCACTGCCGGTAGATGTTGATTTCACTTCTCTACAGTGTTCAAGATCTAGTGGGGGTCCACCCAACACTCCCACATGCAATTTCTACACCTTGTCACCCTCTTCCTTTCGTCTTCTTTCAAGTTTCAATTTCACTCTGTTTGGTAAACTAAAAATAATAATAACCCCGTTTTTCTGAGGATTTTACGGAGCAAATTATTGCAAGCAGAGTTAAATAGTATATAAACACGATTACAAAAGTTGCAATTTGCAATAAAACCTGATTGACACGGTGACATCACGCAGGCATGAGTCATCATACAAATGAGTAATATATCGTGTTGAGGTAGCCAATATATATACACACTATGCAGCAGGTGATGGCAGCCAAAAACGATGTCCATCAATATATAAAAGAGAAAATAACCTCAGTGACCGAAAATGCCTTATAATATACTATTTTAACTAATTTTTTTTGGATTTGCGAAAATAACCAACAAATTCGTAATGCGAATTTCGTTTTCGCAACGCTAATTACCGATATCGGTAAACACAACTATTCGCCACTCAGTTTTCAAATTCGTAACACGATTCTCCAAATTCGCAACGCGAATTTCGTTTTCGCAAAGCGAATTTTACAACGCTAATTACCAATATAGGTAAACACAACTATTCGTAACTCAGTTTTTAAATTCGCAACGCGAATCTCGTTTTCACAACGCGAAATAGCCAATTTTTCAACTAAATTACTGATATAGGTAAACTCGGTGGAAAAAATCAGGTAAAAAATCCGAATTCGACAATTTGAAAACTCAGTTGAGAATTTGGCAAATTCGTGTTGCGAAATGTAAAATCTCGCCTCTTAAAAAAATCGTGAGTAAATAATAATTTGATCTTTGTCAATTTTAAAAGTGATTAACTAATCACAATTAGTTCAATATGATTAGAAGATTTTTTTAGTTCAATATGGTGGTCACACGTAGAATTTTGATTAGTAAAAATCTCGTTGTGAAAATGAAATTCGCGTTCCGAATTTGAAAACTGAGTTGCGAATAGTTGTGTTTACTTATATCGGTAATTAGCGTTGCGAAAACAAAATTCGCGTTGCGAATTTGAAAACTGGGTTACGAATTTGAAAACTGAGTTGTGAATAGTTGTGTTTACCTATATCGTTAATTAGCGTTGTGAATTTGAAAATCGCGTTGCGAATTTGAAAACTGAGTTGTGAATAGTTGTGTTTACCTATATCGGTAATTAGCGATACGAATTTGGAGAATCGCGTTGCGAATTTGGAAAGTGTGTTGTGAAATTGGAGTTCGCGTTGCGAATTTTTTGGTTATTTTCGCAAATATAAAAAAAGTTGGTTAAAATCGTATATTATAAGGTATTTTCGGTCACTGAAGTTATTTTCTCTATCGATAATTAGCGTTGCGAATTTGAAAACTGAGTGACGAATAGTTGTGTTTACCTATATCAGTAATTAGCGTTGCGAAAACGAAATTCGCGTTGCGAATTTAGAGAATCGCGTTGCAAATTTGGAAACTGTGTTGCGAAATTGGAGATCGCGTTGCGAATTTGTTGGTTATTTTCACAAATCCAAAAAAAATTGGTTAAAATCGTATATTATAAGACATTTTCAGTCACTAAAGTTATTTTCTCTATATAAAAAATGAAACAAGGGAATGCGCATGAAAGTGAGGCATTTTTACCTAAAAAAATCATCCAAACAATCAATAATTATTTGTCATGTATTTATTGATCAAATTTTACTGATTTAGTATTTATTTGATGACATGGAAGGAAATCGCGAATCATTATCCGTGTCTTCCCTGAGTTTTCGTCCGAACTGTCGCCACGCGAGTAAAGTACGGATTATCATTTGTGCCTTCGCGGGGAAAAATATCGAACCCCTGTGAATATGAATCCCATTTCTAAAACCAGTTTAGAATTGACTGAAGTTTTGTCTTCCCTTTCTTATAATTATTAAATAATTTGAGTTATAAATTGGTCCTCTAAGGTGTTCCACGTGCATTGAATATTTTCTCCGATTTAATACTGATACCGTTTTCTCTAGTTTCAAAAGCATGATTCTGTTATCCGAAATAAAGACAATCTATAATTTCTATTTTTTGAAACAAAATATATTTGGTTATGATTTTTTGATATTATCATTTTACTGTTTTTGGGTTAGGTATTGTTGGAGGAAGTATCTCAGGCTTAATCTATGACTTGTAAGACCTTACCCTAGACTCCTATGCTTTGTGCACAGGGTGAGTTCTTATTGCAAGCTCCTCAACTTTGTGCATAGGGTAAGTCCTTATTGCATGCTCCTCTGTTTTGTGCACAGGGTAAACCTTACCGTAGGCCCTTATGCTATCGGTATAAGTTCTTTATCGAGTGTATAGATAGATGTGTGGTTAAGGGAAATCCACACATTTTGACGTTCAAATAGAGGCTAATTAGATGATTTTTAAATTAAACTTATCGTATTTTTAAGAGTCTGACATTTTTTTCTCTATACTGATGGAACACACTAAACTCATAAATTTAAGCTCATGAATATGTCCAACTCTGTCAATCTATACACTTTTCGACCATTATTTCGAGAATCAATTAAAGTAGTTTGAATTATTCTGTGAAATTTGTAAATACCTTCTTCATTAAAGAATTTCATGTTTTACAATGTATTTACTTGTCCTTTAACATAATTTGGTAGTTATGTACTATTGAACTTTCTCAAAGCTCACTGTGTTACTTATTATTTCAGGTTAATGAAATGTTCATGTACTTTTATCGACATTAGTTATGGGAGTTCCACTGACGTAACTAGCGGAGTACGGTACAAGATTAATTAGGGGCATGTAAGTAATAATTTATCTTTATACTAGTCCGAAACTAATTTTTATACTGTGTATTATGGAAATTCTATTTTAAATATTGTAATTGTTTTATTATTTTGAAATTTTATTTATTAAAGTTTTATTTTTAATGGACTTTTAGGTGGACCATTGGTGACCCTAATATGAAACGTCGGATCAAATCAGGGTGTTACACGTTGGCCAAAGCAATTTGGCAGAAACACAACGAGGAGAAGCAGACTGTGAAGCCATTCACCCCAGAGTACAAATGACTGTCTCCATGCGCGGGAATCGTGAAAATTAACGCAGACGAAGCTGTGAACCAAAGCTCTATGGAGGCAGCGAGCGGTGGTGTTATCCGCGATAGTTTTGGCAATTGGTTGTCAAGCTATCACCGGACTATTGGTCGTTGCTCGGTGTTCCAAGCTGAGTTGTGGGGAGTTCTCGACGGTCTTACTATTGCTTGGAACCAAGATCTCCGAAATGTTATAGTGGAGACAGATAATATGGATGTGGTCAGAAACTTAACAACTGCTGTCCAGAGGCATGAAACAATTGTTACCAGATGAAATGGTGAACTACTTGTTTAAAACTGGAGCATCAAGATTACCCATGTTACTCGCGAAGCGAACGCTATGATTGATAATCTGGCTCATCTTGAAAGAACTAGCCCTATTGGTATTGGACTCGGGATTCTCCAACAAATCCCGAGTGGTGTTCTCAATACTTTTAAATCGGATAGCACTGATATTACTAGTGGTTCTACTCACTGAGTTTCAGTGATTCCTTTTGTTAAAAAAAATAACAACCATTTTGTCAAAGTAAGTGAGGTGAGACTTTCGACATTTTTATGATTGATTAATAATAATAATAATAATAAAAGAGAGACCCAAAGACTAAGATCAGACACTTATAATTAAAATAAATCAATTTAATAATCAAAATTAAATTGGTATTAATCCTAAAATTGGAATAACAAACGAGATCTATTCTTAACTGAACTAAAATAACTAATTAAATTAAAATGTATAACATTTTCTTTTCACTTTTCAAGTACAAAATAAAAACAATTAGTATTAAATTAAAAATGTATATAATTAATTAAATAATTAAATTAATTATTTCATAATATAATATTTAATTTCATATTAAAAACAAATTATTTAAATATATATGTAATTAACCGATTTGAAGAGGAAGATGCTTCTAACTCTCTCTAAAGTGGAACACTTATACGAGAGGCAGGTTTCATCGACTGTTGTAAGAGGTTTATGTTGTTCAATAACTTCACTAATCTCAAGATTTACTCTAAAAATGAAACGAGTCATAGTACTATCATCTTCCTTAATTTTACTTATAAATTTTATCAGTTGTATTGTCGTAGATAATGAAAATTATAATTTCTTTCTGTACTGTATATAAATTACTTTTTACTATACTTGTTATCATATTTATGTTATTTTATACTAGCAACGGTATTGATTCATTTGAGTTTTTATACGTGAATTTAATTAAGGGTAAAGTATAGTAATGGTCACTGAACATTTCAGAAGCTTGCATTTAGGTCCCCCAACTTTTAAAACTTGCAATACAGTCCCCTAACATTTATTCCGTTTTCAATATGGTCCCCAACTTAAATCACTGTTAGAAAATTAGGGTAAATTATATAAACAGTCATTGAACTTTTCAGGCACTTGAATTTAGGTCCCCAACTTTTAAAACTTGCAAAACAGTCCCCCAATAATTTTATTTTCTTATTAAATATAGATGTATAGAAAATATAAATGATTCAATTTATATTTAAATGTATGAATCATTTATATTTTTGATATATTTTATTTTTCTTGTATAAACTAGTATTTAAAATATGTTTATATTTTAATCAAAATATTTCAATATACGAATAAAAATATATTTATATAAATGTATATTTATATTTAGATGTATAAATAAAAAAAATATATTCATATATTAATGTAAGAATCATTTATATTTTTTGAATATTTTATTTTTAATAAGAAATTAAAATTATTAATTATATTAGAAATACTCAACTTAAGATTATATATATAATCATGAATTATAAATATGAAAAATATAATTATTAAATTTAGTTTAAAATATATAAATCTTAAATTTATTCTTTTAAAATATTGTATCAACTAATATTTAAAAAATATATTAAATCTATCAAACAATTTATCAAATATAATATTTTTTATTGTAAAAAAATATAATATTTTCCCATCATTTATTGCTTTCAAATTTTTTGCCGAAGTTCAAATCTCATTATTTCCATTTTCCATTATATTCTTTTTTTTCTGGCATTGGTCATACTATTAGTATATGTATTATTGTATATCTCTTAACACAAACGATGGTGTTAGTTTAGTGGCTCCACCTTGTATCTTTCATTTGCGTGACTCAGGTTTGAGTTTGCCCAAGACCCAAATTTTACTTCTTTGTAACTTAATTTTCTTCTAATTAGGTGGTGACACGTGTCACCAATAACATATATCATGATCATGTGTTAACACATGTCAGATCCTGGTTAAATGATTAATTTATTAAATTTTATTTAATTTAGGACCAAATTGATAGCATATATAAATAATTAGGTGGTGACATGTGTCACCAATGACACATGTCATGATCATGTGCTAACACATGTCAGATCCTAATTAAATGATTAATTTATTAAATTCTATTTAATTTAGGATCAAATTGATTATATAAATAATAAAGACTGAATGTATAATAATGTCAATTCCTTTTAACTGCCACTTCATCATTTGTATCAATTGGTAACGACTAGTGGCTTAGTTGAAACAGTTAAATAATTATGTTGTATGATTGATAAATTTAAAAGATCGATGACAAAAGTAAAAAGGGCTAGATAGTTAAGTTGTCAACCTAATAGTTTACACTTTTATTTATACGTCAAAATAACATTTTATAAATTTAAAATTCGAATTATTTTCAACCTCTTCTATATCCTAACTACTTTTTTTAATTAAAAAATTTCTTCAACGGATAAAAATTATACTATTATATTTATATAAAAAATACGTATCGCATGAAATAAGATGAAATTAAATAATAATAAATCTGACATAATTGAATTTAATTGAATTATTTTGGAATTTAGGGTTTAGAATAAAATTGAATTACTTTGGAAATTGGGGTTTAGAATGAAATTGATGATTGTTTTGCAAGTTTTAAAAGTTGGGGGACCTAAATTCAAGTGTCTGAAAAGTTCAATAACCTTTTATATAATTTACCCTAATTTCTAACGTTGGTTTAAGTTGGGGACCATATTGCAAATGGAATAAATGTTGGGGGACTGTATTGCAAGTTTTAAAAGTTGGGGGATCTAAATACAAGCTTCAAAAATGTTCAGTGACCATTACTATACTTTACCCTTTAATTAATGGTAAGAAGAGAGCACCAGTGATAGAACTTTGAAGGCTACATAGAATACTAGAGAGGGGCGAGTTTGATAGTTATATTGCAAAAGTCGAAGTGCATTGCTACCAATTTAGTTGGATAAGTTTGGATCAAAAAGTAGGTAACTTGATGTAATATTGCGTACAGATCTTATCCTATCCTCAGCGTCTCAGTTGTCATGCTCTTACTTTTCCATTCAACCAAAGGCGGTGCAAATGCAATGCTCTAATTTCCAGTTGTGTCAACTTTCTTCTATCTGTGTGGACCCTACTTGACCTCCATCCCCATTTAGTCTTTACTTGATTTCAAAGTTCAACTACCCCCTCTCTCTCTCTCTCTCTCTGTCTAAAACCTTCCATCCCCATTTGTTTACTATTCCCCCGTCCCTTCGTTTCATTTTGTTCTCCTCGGCCTTTTTAAGAGAGATTTCGTCTTATTTTATAACCAAAGTGTTATATATCGACAAATTTGCTTGATTTTGTTTTTTTATATATTGTTTCAAATAAAAAAGTTTTCATTTCCGAACATGAAAGGTGAATATGTAGAAGCCAGGAATCAAAACCCCAACGACATGTTCTCTAAGCTCCACCAACACCAAACTCATCCGTTCTCTCGTAAGTTTCAGCTCTCCCGAACCCCCGAGTCCGATGACACCACTCACACCCCTAACCACGGCCCCAAAGATGTTTCCACCAACACCACCCATGGCCCTTCTCTTCCCAGCGGCGATGCTAACAGTGGTGGAGATGGAGCCAGCATCGAAATCGTTCGTAGACCCAGGGGACGTCCTCCGGGTTCCAAAAACAAGCTCAAGCCGCCCGTCGTGATCACTCACGAGCCCCAGCCTGCAATGAGTCCATACATTCTGGAAATCCCTGGAGGAAACGACATCGTAGAAGCCGTCTCCCGCTTTTCTCGCCGCAAGAACATTGGAATCTGCGTGCTCACGGGATCCGGTACTGTTTCCAACGTGTCTCTCCGTCAACCTTCTTCGGCCACTCCAGGAGGCACCATAACTTTCCATGGAACATTCGAAATCTTATCCCTTTCCGCCACGTTCCCAACCCAAACGACGTCGTGCCACGTGCCCAGCACCATACCCATATCTTTGGCCGGTCCTCAAGGGCAGATCGTTGGAGGGTTCGTAGCTGGTCCGCTTGTAGCAGCTAGCAACGTGTTTTTAGTAGCTGCTACATTCAACAACCCTTCCTATCACCGTTTACCCGGGGAAGAAGAAGAAGGGAGGAATACGGTGTCGTCTGGTGGTGCAGGTGGGCAGTCGCCGCCATTGTCTGGTGGTGGTGGAGATAATAGTCACGGTGGTGGGGCAGATTCTTGTGGCGTTTCGATGTATAATAATCATTTGGGCGGATCGGATGTCATTTGGGCTCCAACTGCAAGAGCTCCACCGCCTTACCACTAAGTTCAAATCTTTAGCTTTTCAAGCTTTCTTTTAAAAATTCTCATCTTTAAAAGTAGTGTGAATGAACGGAGGTTTAGATGTTTTTCTCCTCCTCTGAGCTTGTTTAGTCTTTTTGTACTTCCGTTTCATGAAATGATAATTAATTCCTTTGTTTAAAATTTCAAATATTGTATTGCTTATAAATTGATCAAAATATTCTTCGTTTCCTTTCTTCCTTATTTAGAGAAAATATACTAAAAAAAACAGATTTGAAGAAGCGAAGTCGTTATCGTTTGATAGAGCCAACACATGCCTAGGGTTATTACATGTTAGATAATGAACAGATACTCTTAAATGTCTTGTGGATAAAAAATTGGAGAAGCTGAGCCTGAGCAGAGCTCTGCTTCGAAGTTTGAAACTTTATCATGCAGCAGCAGCGCTGAGTAAAAGATAACGTTGATGATCAGATTCATTGCTTTTTACTCGGCTGATAAAAGCATATGGCACAAGAAAACATGGCTAGGGTTATGCCTCCCATATCAGTTTTAAAAAGAATTTGGACTCTGCTTTTATCCGATACGATCTTCAATTCTTACAACACTTTCGTAATTTATATTTATATCTAATTGTACTTGTTTTGTCTTTTTCGGGTGCGATGGGAAAATAAGAAGGCAATGATGAAAGCGTTGGGGTTTGGGGGATGGAATTGGGTTGCCTACTACTACTCAAACTCACTCCATGTATAAAATAAACTCTTTTTTTAATAGGTAAAATAAAATCTTTGATTATTGAGGCTACTGCTTTTTTCTCCCGAATTAGGTAAATGACAAGTGTGTTTGGCACTCAGTGGTCTTATTCCGTGAAGATACGACATTCATTGCTTCATCTCTCATTTTCTCTTTCCTCTCTTTATTCTTTAGGGATAGATAATAGTTTGTCCACTTTGTAAATTTAAATCATTATGTATTTAAATTACGTTTTAATATTTTATTTTTAGTAACCTAATCTTATCTGAGTGTTTGAAAATGAATTTCGGGGTGATCAAATTGGATTGGATACAGTATAATCGTGGTTTGAAGGTTGTTCGTGCAAGAGCATCGAATTGACTCAAACGACATTGGTGGTTGATTCGTGAAATTTTGCATTTGATCAGCATTATTGTTGAGGAGTTTTGGTGCTTGATGGGGTCGTAACCATACATGTTTACTTTGGAAATTAATTTTGAAATCTTTTAGTAGAGACCAAATACCAAAGCTACCAAACACAGAGTAAAACACGTCCAAATGTTCATTAACAAGTCCAATACTACATCCCATAAGACCTACATTAACCCTTTCAAATTTACACAACAAAACCAACCCAGTTAGCCATAGTCCAGATTAATCCAATTCCATTATCAATAAACCAGCAACCCATTTACATCATTTTTATCAAATGTTACCCAACCAAACAATTCTCACACCCATTATAAATCAACCTGTTTCATAACCCAAGCTCAATTAACCCATAACCCAAATGACCATCACATACCCTAAACCAATTTGGAAAATGAAACCCTAGGTTGGGTTTTCACTCTACTACCACCGCTAGAACATCCTAGAGGTTTCCAGCAACATCCCAAGCCTCCAGTTGGATTCGTGCCCCACCAGCATTTAAATCTGCCACGTCCCCTCTCCAACTGTCTTTTTCCCTCAACGGCTTCAACAAATCGACCATGCAAAAACACAAAAGTTAGGAATTTTTTTTTGAGATTTTAATATCTGTAAATCTGTAAATTTCTGGGGTTATAAAAACCCAAACAATCGATTGCAATAGGGATTTTTTCCTCCATTCGAGAGAAATCAGAGAATACCAATAATTTTCTTTCATTTTTTTTCAATTTTTAGAAGAACATACAAACCAAAGAATCAAGACAAGAGTCTTTATCCAATCATTTTTTTATTTCGAATACAATAATAATAATCATAATAACAAAAAATTCCTAAAAAAAAGTTGAAAAATGGGATTAAGGGGTTTTACCTATTTGTTCGAATCCATCACCGGAGTTGAGAGTTGAAGTGTCGGGAGTCTTTCGGGAGGCCTGTGAATCGTCGGAGTTCTCATCGGAGCCGAGTTGCGTCACCGGAGTTTGGGGAAGCCGAAAGGTTGAGAGTCTTCGAAGGGCTTTAGGTATTATTTAGGTTGTTTTAGACTCTGATTTGGGCTTAGGGTTTCGAATAAGTGGTTTGGGGATCAATTAGGTTACTTTTAGGAACTTCGGCCACCGTTAGCGGTGGTTAGCTGACGGCGAGCATTTGGAGCTTTGATAGGCGAGGGAGATGAAAGAAAGCTGAGAGAGAAGTTTGGGTTAATTTGAAAATGAAAAAAATTTAAAAAGGTGGATTATATGGCCAAAATGTTTGGGTTATTTACTCTCGTACCCTCAAAATTTCGCCTTATTTTTACAAAATGGTCCCCTGTTGTGTTCTTTTTATTATTTATTTCGAATTGCACGTCTTTATTCTATTATTTTGCATATTTAGTAAGTAGTTTTAAACATAAGGGTTATTTTCGTTTTAGTCCTCATATCTTTGCAGTGTTTTCACAACTTGGTCACTAGTGTCTTGATTTTCATTCCACTGTTTTATTTCATCTCAATCTAGTCATTGTTTATGTTGTTAATGATTTATTTCGATTTGGTCCCTGGATGTCTATTTTTGTTATGGTTTAGTATTTTCTTTTTTTTAATTGCCTTTAATTTTGATTTTAATTTCTTTTTAATTTAGTACTTAATTATATTTTTTTAGATTTTATTGTAATAACCCAAAAATTTAATTAGTGACTAAAACATAATTTTTGAAAGTTTAGTGGTCAAACTTAAAACTTAGAAAATTCAAAGACCAAAGAGGTAATTTTCCCAAAAAGAAATTTTCTTCTATAAATAAATATTTCATCTTTAAGAATAGATTCTTTATGCGATTCACATTTCGTTCTGAAATTGTGTAAAGAGCTAGAAAGTGATAAAGTTCAGTAAAGTATTTGGATAATCAGATCGAATCGAAAGTTTACAAAATTTTGAAGAATGCTCGTATGGGATTTGAAATATTATATTTATAATTTTAATCAGTAGAATTTTACATGGAAAAGTGAGATTAAGTGGATTTTCCATGTTAAAGCTGAATAGTGAAAATTAAATGACTAAATTGAAATTTTAAAAAAATGTTAGGGCAAGATAAAAATTAATCAAATAAATGTTTATATTTATATGATGATGTAAGAATGGTGATGAAAGCATGAAAAGGTGGTAAATATCAAAATTTATTAAGGGTAGAAATGACTTTTGGACTAAAATGAATTTTAATTCATTTTAATTAGAATTTAACAGGTGTACATAGATATTTTAGTAAAGAACTATCACATAAGGTCTTTTATGAGCATCCTACTCATGTGGGTGTAATATCATTTAAGGTTATTCGGTTTTTGTGGGAGTTTGTAATTTTAATGCTCGTTTGTTATAGACACAATTTCAGTTACTTCAATTTAATAATTTATGAGGAAATAAAGTTTGTTTTGGTTTATTCACACTCTGGTTTTGGTAAAATTTGATCTCATTGATGTTTAAAAAGAATCGCTTGGAATTAGACATGTGTGGTTTACATTGCATGTAATTTCTATGTTACGCTCTATGATTGATCTATGTCATTTGATTGTGTTTGTATATGTGATCATTGATGGGTCTAGTTATGATTGATATGACAAAGGAAACTTTGATACTATATGGATATAGTTGATAGATGAGATTGTTATAGAATATCTATTGCATGATAATAATTTTTGGGCTCTTAAGTTTATACATTTATCAGGAAACATATGTTGTCCAAGTAGGGGATTATTGGATTAAAATCCATAATTGTAGACACAGATTTTTAATGCATATTGTTATCATAAAATATGACATAAATTAAGTGACCAATTATGTTATAAAGTCATAAAGTATTAGAAGTGTCATGAAAATAAAAATGTATATACTATTAAAGTTGTATTTATAATTTGATGAGAGAAAAAGTTATAAGTACATACAATAGTTGATTCTTAAATCATCTATATAAATGAGTTATGATCACCAAGAGATAAGACAATATGATATTTACTCTTATCCTGTTAAAAAGTTTGTACTTAAGAGAACTCTATCTTCTTGGAAGATTATAACTAAATAAAGGCTTAAATATTTCAACCTATTAATTAATTCAGATACTCTTTCGCAAATATAATATTTCTTGTTCTTGGTGATTTAGCATTATTTGATTCGGGTTATTTTCATATTTATTTATGGTTTGTTTCTAACATTTTTTTCCTTTTATTCGTGAAATCTTATAGCCCCAATTATTATTATTCTCAGCATATATATAGGATTATTACTTGTAGTATATAAAGCAAAACAAGCATCTACCATTGCCTTTCAGCCGAAAAGAAGACTTATTTTAACAGACAGAAACGGATGACAGATATATACAAATCCACCCGTTGCATGATTCGTTGTCCCCGACATCTCCGAAACATAAGGGATTCGAGATGAACTTTTCGGCCGATATTTCTTTTAATTTCTTATTATGGGGTAAAAGCAATGTAAAATCAAGTGAAGAGTGCAGCCTAGCTATTAATAAACACCGAAGAGGAATTAATAAAACAAGGCATGGACATGGAACAAGTCTGGGAAATCGCCCATTTTTCAATCTCAACCGCTGAAGTTGGTCCCATGTTAATTAACTCCCAACTTCTCGTGTCTCAACAGTGGCTTTTCTCGATGGCACACAATTGATCAGGTTTCAGCATCGGCCAGAATCAGCTTCACGAATCCCCACTTGCATCGCCTTGTTATTTTGTTGTTTCATCATCAATTGGTAATGTAAAAGACATGCCAATCAGCATTTGGTGCGTTGTCGGACGTAAAGCTTGGGAAAATCATTTCCACAGTATAATGTTCCAAATCAAGATCAAGATGTTTGTTTAATTTAAGATGATACGAATCTTCTTTCAAATGGCATGTTTTAATAACTTTGGACACATGTTTTCTTTTTTCTTTCATTTGAGTTGACAAATGAAGCCAAAATGTTTAACTTTTTAATTATCGTTGCACTCATTACGTCTTCTTAATGTTTGGATATTACTCAATGAATTACTAGGGCAAGTGCTTGCAAGCGTGGTATCCTT